GAGCCCGAAGAGTAGCCCAGGAGACCAGAAGCCCCACGGACATCATGGTGGCAGACAGACTGATAAGACAGGCAAGAGACGCCTTGAAGCAGCATCATAAGAGCACCTGGGATAAGAAACTCGAAAAACTATCTCCAGCTGATCCAGAAATGTGGAACTTGGCTAAAATCCTCAGAAACAGAAGACAGCCGATAAATAGCTGACGTGCTCACGGAATCTTAGTATTTCATGAAGAATTACTCCTACGATTGTAACACAATTACTAAACTTTAATTCAGTATTTCAAATAAAAAGGTGAAGATTATTCTCTAGTAAATTATCCTTCATTTTTCGGCTGAAAAGGATAATTTTAGTTTTTCCAGCATTAAGTTCTAAACCATTGTGCTTTGTATAACCTGAAATTGTATCTACCATTATTGATCAGAGAATCTGGATATTAAAACTTTTGGGCACTAAAAGATATATTATACCTCCGCGTATTGTCAGCGTATGTCACAACATTACAGATTTTAACAACTTTAATTATGTCTGACGTATATATGGTGGAGAGCAAGGGGCCTATAAGATTGCGGTCCGCCAGATATAGTATCTCTTAGTCCAGAAGAATAATCGAAAGAAATTTAAACTTGATTCACATAGTCCTAAATATTTTAGCTTTGCCATTAAAATGTAATGATTAATTTTATTAAATTCTTTGCAAAAGTCAAGGAGTAACAGGACACTTGCACCACCCCTGTCTGCAGCGATTATGATATCATCAACAATAGACAACAGGGTGGGAGGTTGTGTTGTACCCCTCCCTGAACTCATATTGTTGAATGAAATCATTTTCAATTTTGTAGCTGGAACGAAATGATATTTTTTTGAAGGAGTTTTGATAGTATGATATGTAAAAATCTGCACATGTGACAGATAAAGAAAAACTACAAAAAAAAACCTATAAATCAACTGAGAAACTATGGTTTTACATGTTGGATCTATTATTTTACAACGTCTTCATTTGAATGACCTGTATTGTGACTCAATGTATTTCTACTTTGCTAACTATAATATGTATGTGAGGTCTAGTTATTTCAGTATAAGCATTTTCAAAATGCTAGATCAATATAATTATTGGGAGGGAACAGAACATCTTCATCCTACCTCAGTTCCAAAATACGTGGTTACCACATTGGAAATCCTTTAGGACTGCAGTGGAATTCTATGTTTTCTTTTTTGCTTTCAAATGAGTTTCTCAGCGGTTTTCCAAGAAACGCACGTTCATAAATTGAACCGCACAAAGTTCATATCTTGAATAAAGCCACTGTAAACTCAAAGATACTAAAAAAGTTTTCACGTGTCGGAGTGGCTTGTCGAAATGATTTTACTTTGATTAAAGGCTTTCTTGAAGCTACAATGTCTTAAGGACGCTGTAAAGACTAAATAGTTTTAATGGTTAATTTTTACAATCTCTCGTAAAACTTACTTTGAAAAAGACTCCTCTAACAGCCTATAAAGGTTTTTATCTTTATTATATGGAACTCCTGGAAATGGAACCTTTACGAAAACCGCTCTTAAAGCCTCTTTAAAATCATAAGGTTGTTAAAATGTTAAATTAGACTATAAGCAAAGACTGAGTAACTTGGATAAAGGACTACGTACTCCATTGTAACTTTCAAAACCTATTCCGTGGTCATCTGTCCGAATTACGAGTATATCCACATAATAAATGCACAGATATTTTGTAAAACTTGCATGGGGACTGTAGTTTCAACGAAAGATGTCACAGACCTGTGATGCCGCAGTAACAGCCAAATCGAATTAGGAGTGGATTTAGATATTAAGATGGGTGACTAGCCTAAAACCGTACGGTTAATCTGGAAGAATATCAAGCGAAACGAGCTCCACTCAAGCAGTGTCGCCAGCTTGAATAATGTGATAGGTAAAGCTATAAAATAGCTATAGATAGACTTTTGGTTATTCGTCGGGAGCATAGCGGGGGAAACTAACTCGTTTGCCGAGCATTCAGTGGCATTGGCAGATCAAAAGAGAATTGTCATCTTCAAATTCAAGTTGCTTCTAATCTCAAATCGCGTACATTTCTGTTACTTTCAATTATATTCTCTTATTTAAAAAAAATGTATTGTGCGATTTTAGATCCAACCAGAATCATGATTATTCCACAATTTTGTATCAATATGCCGAGGCACCCCTCCAACTTCTTCCTTCTTCCCTTCTTTCTCCACGACTTTATGATGTGGGCAGCGTGAGCTGACAAACCTACTGACCTACAGGGTGTAAACGTTATGGTAGTCATTATTGAAATGGGTAATAGAGGGGAGTCAATACAAGTCAAAAAGTTCATATGATCCACGGTCCAAAAGTCAATAGATTTTGTCTAAATGGCATTATGGTTTACAACTTTAAGTGCTCTACATCGACCAATCTTACTATTTTTTAAATTACTTTATTGTTTTGTCGTGTTTATTTACAATGTTCTCGAATCAAGAGTTCGCCGACATGTTGTTAGTTTACGGTGAAGCTCGTCAGAATTCAAATCTTGCAGCCCAAATTTATCGCGACAGACTTCGCCAACGGGTACATCCAGACAGAAGAACATTTGTGCAAGTGTACCAAAGACTTCGAGTTACAGGAAGTGTTCAGCACACTAATATTCGCACTCGTGAAAGACAGGTTACTGTAAAGCAGGAGGAACAAAAAAAAACTATCGCATACCATAGTCCATAGAATCCTACGGGAAAATTTGCTTTATCCCTACCATGTACAGCGAGTGCAGGCCTTGTTCCCAGAAGACTATCCTCGCAGACTAACATTATGTCAGTGGTTTTTGCACAGAAACATTGAAAATCCGGATTTTTTAAAAAATATTCCAGCGACGGACGAATGTACTTTTACGAGAGTCGGGATATTAAATTTCCATAATACTCATACGTGGGCCCAAGGAAATCCTCATACCGTTCGTGAAGATCATTTCCAACAACGTTTTAAAATAAATATTTGGGCGGGTATTCTTGACGATCAGGTGATTGGCCCTTTCGAGTTACCCCCAAAGTTGTCAGGAGAAGGATACCTTAGCTTTCTAGCCAATAACCTACCAGAACTTTTAGATCAGACCTTAGACAACATGCCATTACAATGGAGACAGAATTTGTGGTTTCTTCATGACGGGGCACCACCACATATTTTTAGAGGCTTTATTCAGTATTTGAATGAACATTACAATGGCCAGCAAGATCTCCTGATCTCATTCCGATGGAGTTCTGGTATTGGGGAGAACTTAAAGGGATGGTTAATGGGGCTGGTACAATAACAACTGAGGCACAACTTCGCGAAAAAGAGCAAGTAAGAAGAAACTGGGTTAGTCGTAATGAAGCTTGTGTGGAAAGTGGAGGACGACATTTTGAACACATTCTTTAAATACAAAAAAGTGCAGTGTGGGTTTTAAAAAGAAAAACAATGTATGTATCGAAATTGCGTTCCCTATTTATAAGTGGATTTTTTAATACGTTCAATAAGCTTTCACATACGAGGTGAAGCGCTGAGACAGTTAGTGGTAAGTCCGTTTTTTTAATTGTTTGCATTTTACGAGTACATTATCAAATAATGAAATAATACCTAAGAGCCAAAAACAACAAACTCCATCTTTATTTACACTGCGTTCCGTCGTAATTTGCATCTGGCATTGCGGCGTTGGCAGATTTTATTTTACTTTAAAGTCGCTTTTCTCTGAAAAAATGCCGTTTTGACCCCCATGTTATATGAAACTCTTTGCTTCTTTTAACCCCCTCAATCACCCATTTAAATAATGACTATCATCACGTTTACACCCTTTATAACACTTTGACCAAGAGAACAGATCCTACTGACTGTTCTGACGGACAATGACTAATCAAGCATCCTCTTATTTTTATATTGTACGTGTCAAGCACAAATATTTCTTTCCAACATCCTCTAGGTCAGTGGTTGCCAACTAGTCGATCCCGAGCTATCGGTAGCTGGCGAAGACAATTCTGGTGGCTCATAATGAACACAAGCAGCGGCAACGTTGCGGTGAGCGATCTGTTCGGGTACGATCTCGATTACTTTGAACGGAATAAATACGCAAGGCGCGGCGACATTGCGCTCAGCTTAAAACTCAACGGCACAAAGTTTAGCGGTTGGGTTAGAGTTGGCCGGCAATTAAAAACATTATGAGCAGTAGTAAGAAGACATACCATTTCCATTCGGAACAATACTTCTTTACAGAAGTTAACGGTAAAGATGTATGTTTTTCTGTGTAATACATCGGTTTCCGTTGCTCAAAAAGAAAATGTCGAGAGGTACTATAAAACTGTACATACGAATTTTAAAAAAATATCCCCATTAGGTTCTAAAACCAGAACTGAAACAATTAAAAAATCAATTAATTGGACAACAGACAATGTTTTTAAAAACAATCAACAAAAGTAAGGCTGCAACTGAAGCATCAAATCGGGTTTTTCAGATAATTACACAAAAAAAGAAACCTTATGAAGACGGGGAAATGATAAAATAGGCATTTTTAGAAGCTTCAGATTCATGATTTGCCAACTTTAGAAGTAAAGACGAGATAGTATCTGCTATAAAATCTATGCAGCTCTCTGCTAACACAGTGATGAGACAAGTAGAAGTAATGAGCAACGATATAGTTTTACAGTTAAGAAATGACTTCGATAACTGTGCTTAATTTTCACTGCAGCTGGACGAATCCACAGATGATACCTCTCAGATGGTCGTGTTTGTCAGGATGGTTTTTAGTGATTTTACGATTAAAGAAGATCTTTTGAAGTTTATTCCAGTAAAAGGACAGACTACTGGCCAGGATTTGCTTTCTTCTTTTAAAAATATTATTTTTCTGAGAAAATTCCACTATCGAAAATGATAGGCCTGATAACCGATGGCGCTTCAGCTATGGTGGGTCATCTTAAGGGGTTATGTCGTAAGGATAAAAGTTTTCCACAATTTCTCTGTTAAACAACGTTATGAAATTGGTAGTAAAAATTGTGAAGAAGATTGGAGCCCAAGCGTTACAAAGAAGATTATTCAAAACCTTGGCCGATGAAATTTACTATCAATACGGGGAACTACTTCTTCACTCTGAAGTCCGATGGTTAAGTAGGGAACGAGTACTGGAACATTTTGATGATATATCTGAAATAGTTCAATTTTTCAAACAACGAGATGAACCGATTCCGGAACTGGAAAATTCAATCTGGCCTAGAGATTTTGGTTTTCGTGTGGATATTACAGACCAATCAAATGAACTTAATTTGCAGCTTCAGGTGAGAGACAAAGAACTAGCAGAAATGATTTCTGATATAAAAGCTTTCATCAAAAAGCTTGAGTTTTGGGAACAAAACTTAACCGATGAAAATACCAGGCATTTTCTTGTTCTTTCAGAAAAGATATTCAAAGTCCATTAGAACCATATGACAGTAAATATCGTGTAGAAATAGTCTTTAACTTGAAGGATAACTTTGTTCCAGGGATTTCAACGAAATTGCTATAGTGGCGCAATTTGTTGTTTCACCCTTCATGGAAATTGATATCCAACAGTTTGCAACTTCTATTATGCAGAATTTTAGCAAAAACATCGCTGAAGGAGAAAGAAATGGAAGTGAATGAAAGTTAAAATGATTTAGCTTTGAAATCGTTAGTCTCAAATACAAAATGTATCTGGCCTTCAGTAAGTAAAGATAAATATTCAGTCTTATGTCATGTTGACTTGAAAGTCGAAGCGGTTTTTAGTTCAACCTATTTGTGTGAATCTTCTTTTTCAAATATAGAGTTTATTAAAAACAAATACATGAACAAAGAAATGGACATTTGTATACCTAATTGTATTGGAATGGCGGTATCAAATTATACTCCAAACATTAAAAAAATTGTCAGTTAGTCTAAGTGTCGGGCTTCTCATTGAACACGCATTTTTTATCTGGACATGTTTTTGTTCAAACTAGTATGTTGCTTTTTCTATTTTTAGTTACCTTTATTAAATCGTACGTGACATGCCATTGTAGCTAACGAAAAATTTTGTTTATTTTTAAAACACCTACGATTGATAAGAGTGGGTGTAGTTATGTCGTATGGATTAGTTTATTTAAGTTTATTAGTATGCATTAGTATTAGTAAAATAAGTACATGTATTTCGCATATAACTGAGTATAATTTCATTTAAGTTGGCCTATATTGCTTACGACTAGGCAGATCACTATTTATTCCAAAATTATCCAAGTAGCTCAACACAATGAAAAGTTTGGCGTCCACTGTTCTAGGTAAATAACTACACAAAGCCACAAGCCATGAAACATCCCAACTGCATTTAAATTCCAGAAAAATAAACTCTGAACTCCTTTCCGTTAATTTACCAATGCGATCGAACGAAATGTTAATTTAGTAAAAGCCAAGGTACGCGTCGAACTGAACATCCAATTCAAGCCAAACCAGCGTCCCTGCGGTGGGCTGCGCGTATTTAGAAACGTATTACGTGGATCCCTTTAATGGGGGCTCAAAGTTAACCATGAGTTATAGCTATTATTCCTAATTCGGACGAACCCTAATACTCAGCTTATCCTTACCATAATTTTTAAGTATAATAGATTGGTGCTCCGCGTTACCACGTGTTACAATGTTACAATTCTTGCTGCCGGCGCAGTACGTAGAAAAAGGCGGATTAGGACGGAGTGGTTTATGAGTGGATTTTGTTAAGCTATATTGGATTAAATGCGGAAGATTAACTATTACGACTGGGACGTAATAGTTAATCTTAGAACATGTGGAAATATAAATCTAACCTAGTTGTGTAGCTGAAACAATTCTTTTCATAGAGATTATTCAGAGGAATGGATTTTTGATTTGAGTACCAAAAATTTAATATCATCTAGATAGGGGAAATCCATCACTGAAGTAAAATATCGTGGAAAAAGAGTCAATGCAATATTGTTATTTGATCAAACCTAACAACGATTTAATCGACGGAGAGGAAATGAAAATTGCTGGAAATGGAGAGTCCACAGCTTCAGAGGCGTCACTAAAGTTATACAGCAGCCTTGATCGATGTTAGACAATTAGCTGACTGCTCAATGATAATAATAATAATAATAATAATAATAATAATGAGTTTATTCAGAAGATGATCATAGTATGGCGAAGTTTAGCCATGGCTACTCTACCACTCAACCATACTACAACCAGACATCACAAAACATTAGCATAACAACATGAATCAGTAGCTGTAAGGAATTCATTGAAAAGGAATAAATTTATAATATGAACATATACAAGGAAAAGAAACAAAAGAACAAGATATCGTTCAGCAAAATGAATTTATCACTCAATGTGCTGAGTCCAGAAAGTGCAACTTGACTGTCTTCTTGAAGCGCTGCAAACTTAAGGTCTTAGAGATAGCTGGTAAAGAATTGTATACCTTGACCGCATTATAAGTAAAGTACCTTTCAAAGACCGACGTACGATGTATAGGAATGGAAAGTAGATCATTGTGCCGCAGATTTAGAGTAATTTGGTTTCCACGAGGAATCAACTTACAGAGCAAATAGACTGGTAGACTGGCAGGCATAAAAGTACTTAAAAAGTATTCGTTGACTTCACGGGGACCTAGCAGATTAAGCGGTACATCAACATCTTTCTGTTGACCGACATTCATAGATCCAAGTGTTTTCTATGCTGATCGTGTACTAATATCACCATATCTAGAAAGGTAGGCTCTCTTCTCCCTACGAAAGGAAGCAAGTGCGTAGTTCGGTATATCTTTGTACGTTGACTAGTTCACATCAGATGGGTCATGACGGAAATTCAAGAGAGCTTTGTCGCGTTCCTTAAAGATGCATCTCAGGTTCGATGTTATCCATGGAGCAGCCGGTTTTGTTACACGAGCAGTTCGTAATGGCGCGTGCATATCATGTATTTGTATTATGCAACTAGATAGACAGCTTACTTTGTCATCAACATCCATAAAGTAAAAAATACGATCAAGTCCAGCATGAAGTAAGTCGCCCTTCAAATCAATAACATCAATATTTTTTATATCTCTAAAAGTTACTAACTTGGGTTCAAATTTAGGAAGCTTCAGAGCAACAGCACAGAAAACTAACTTGTGGTAGGACACAAGATCAGCATTAAGAACTCCTGATTTTACAATACTGTTTGAATTGCTAGAAAATGGGGTCTATTAGAGTTGAGCTAAACTGAGTTACCCGAGTCGGTTCATTTATTAATTGATCAAAATTGAAGCTATCGCAGCAGTTGCTCAAAGGATTGTCATGATTCAAAAGGTCAACATTTATGTCACCAAGAATTATTATATTATCATATTGAGGTACGAAGAAAGAAAGCATATCATCAATGGTATCAATGCTATCTGTAATTGAAGTATGAGGAGGGCGATACACGACGACAATAAGTAGGGTAGAGTTGCCCATGCTGAGTTTGCAGCATAGCAATTCTAAGGAAGAGTCACCTACAAAATCAAGGGTATCAATAACGGTAATGTTGAAATTATTTCTTATATAGAAGACCACCCCTCCTCCCCTACCCAAACGATCTCTACGGAAAAGCTGGTAGCCTTCTAAAGGTACAGCTTGACTAGAAATGTTTTCATTAAACCACGTTTCGGTAATGCATATGATATAATATCGAATTAGTTTTGAACCAATCCACAAAAACAGTCGAAAGCAGTAGTCAAGGACCGCACATTGAGATGACAAATATTTAAAACTTTGTTATTAAGCCTAGCCATAGTCAATTCTAGATTTCAATTCAGCATATTTCTTTAAAAAACATGGACATTGTCTCTCTGATGCAGCATGATGGACTGAATATGGCTTAAAATCTCTAGAATGACTTTTCATATATTTTATTATATACACAGCAATTCACACGTTTCTTACTAACAAAGTTACAATCTTTCTCACCATGGTCATTAGAACATAGCGAGCACACAGACTTATTTTTGCAATCTTTTTTCAAATGACCGAATCGAGAGCAGCTAAAGCACCTAATCACTGAAATATGGTCACGGACAAAACACTTTTTCCAAGAGGTATACAAAAAGCCACGAGTAATTATGGTTTTCCTCACATCAGGATCAACCTCTACTATAGAACTCGACGAATATTTTAACTTTAGAACAGATATCACCTTTATATCACAATCAGCCAAGTAATCATTATTTTGGACTATTGACTCAAGGAAAGTGTTTCTGTCATCTAGTGATTTATCAACATCAGTAATCAAGAGACGGAGTTTGAAGGGCTTGGGAGCTGTTACCTTATACTTACTGTTAAACTTATTCTGAACTACACGCTTAAGTTTTTCTAAAGATTCTTCGTTAGACCAACTAATCAACATTCCATTTTTTATAAGCTTAACACCATTGATACTTATTTTCTCTGCAGGAGGGTTAACATTCGCTTTAACAGTATTTAAAACCTCGGAGAATGGCGATAATAAGAATCAAAATTCTCCACTGCCCTTTTCATGTCTAAAACCGGATTTATTAAGTCAATATCGATATCATTTCGTCGTACTTCAAACATCTTCACCGTGCTAGGTAAGCAGTTAAGGAATTTATTGGCATCATTTAGTTAATTATTTTTGAATGGTCCAGAGACGAGACTGTGGGCTCCATATATATAGACAGTGTGTCCCATATTCGCTTCTCTATACAGAGATCTCAGCTCTTGTTATACCTACAGCAAAGGTTAATTGGAGAAAGTTTTAGAGAAAACTTAGTGCTTTCGATAGCCGGCTTCAGATTTACGATCAATCAATTGGTTTGAAAATATCAGCGAAAAACAGAAAATGACGGAATTTGTTTTTTGTCAGTAAATCCAAAACGGTTAATTTGACAGCTGTCAAAATGTGACATTATTCGGACATTTAAAAACAATAAGATAGCATGTATGATATGTCTCAATCGTTCTTTGTTTTTAAGCAACCCGCCTCAACTTCAATTTTCTTATCGCCCCCATACTGAATTTTTTGATTTTTGAAGAGAGTGTAAAATTTCCAGTCCAGTGATGTCTTACAAGTACATATAATATTGGAGTATCACCGAAATATCATCACACTAAGGAGGCCATGATTTATTTATTAGAAAATAACACTAATGAGTAAGGCATAAAAAACACATAAACGCATTGAATTTTCAAAAGAATATTAACGCTAATATCGACTTCTCAACAAGTCAAGTGTTCTGGGACAAATTCACAACTATGAGTGAGTTAAAAAAACAAGTCAGAAAAATTGTCGTAAATTTGTTTTACACTTGAACAAATATTTTACAAAATTGTAATGTAACGTAAAATCTAGCTATGTAAGTGGGTATTAATTTACAGATTTGCAAAATAACGTCCATATCCATCCAGACATTTCTGACAATCGATGGCTAATCTTCGTACACCAT